AAATTTGATTATGATCTAGTTTTGAGAGACGTTTCTTCAAAAGAAAGTTTTGGAAAACACGACTTATTCCGATTTTTGACGTTTTAATGACGTTTTAAAACGTCACCCGTCCCCAAAGGGTTAAGGGGAAAAGAGTTACTCCACGAAATTTTCTTCTCAATTTCGTTTTTTCATTCGTATCGAAAAAACTCGATACTAACCAGGATAGTAGAACCGACTATTCTCAACAACTATATATAGCAAAGCTGGTATGCAATGAAAATTTTGTAGCAGCTGCGGAATAGAGGAATAGCGACCGGAATATATTTTGAAACGTTCTCTAGGAACGTTCGGCTAAATTTGAGCGCCGAACAAAAGGATACTCATTTTCATTTATATAAAATCAAAGTTTGCCTTTTAATTGTTCTGGCTTGATATAAATAAAATTATTTCAATTCAGTTCACCGTCGCATTATGTCATACATTGGAAAAGCCATCTCTCGTCTCATTTTAAACATATTTAAAATGCGGTGAACGAAACCTTTTTCTTTCAGAATAAAATTCTGCAGGACCTTGCACAAGAAATCTGCGAGTTGTGTGTATTGAAGTATTCGGCGATGTTTCTTACCTTTGCGCATGATTTTTTTCATGCTAATCCTACATGAACTATGCAGGGTGCCGTCGAGGCTGACAGAACACAAATCCTGCGTAAAGATAAGAAACATCATCTAATATTTTAACATACACAATCCACAGCACTCTTACGTAAAATCCTATGATGTCTTACATGAATTTTAATTATTTTTTGACTTGACATAATAGCTCATGTGTTCATACAAATGCCAGTTTGATCGATATTAGTCTGTGCTATAAAAAAACTCCATTCTTGTCTGCAAAATAATTATATTTAAAATGGTACGCACTTTGAATCCCATACATAAAGAAAAACGTTTTTTGTTATCGATACACACATGATCAAAACGGAAATCTTTTCAAGAAAAGTACACTTGTTTTTAATTGACTGATTAAAAAAAATGTTTAATATGTTTTAGCAAAAGATAACTTTCAACTATCCAACGATTACGTCGATAATAATGATATACAATTCAAGATAGAATTTCTTGACATAGATGATAAAAAAATACCATTCATAGATGATCATACAAGACTCAGTGTGTTACCAATTAGTGATCCCTTTCTTATTCATGGATCCAAGAAGAAATACCATACGAACATGGATACGACTCGTAAACAAACGACGGCATCTCACAGAAAGACAGCTGTTCATGAATCAAAAACTCAGTTTTTACAAACTTTACTACAAGCTTCGATAACAACAAGATCATTGAAGTCAAATGGATTCAGTGATGATGATCGCACTCAATCATATCGTGTTTCTGATATTGATCAACAAGCAGCTAAGTTACCACAAACAAGTACAAACTTAAAAAAAAAGTTTTATACAAAGAGACAGCAAGACGAACCTGTAATTTCTATACAGGTACAAACATTTTCTAACAGTATCTAAATCTCATAAACATTAGCAAATTTTAGAGTAACAGCAACAAATTGTTGGAAAAAAATATCCTCACGGGATCAACAACAAAAAATTCAAATCCCCTCTCCTCATCAGCAAGACTCTCTTATAAAAGCGATGCCATGTCTCAAACAGATGGTATCACGCAATTGGTACAGCAAAACTTTCTTAATCACAGATCATCAACTGAATCATCTGTCGCTCCAGTCACAACTGTTCCATCTCCACTACCACCGCCTCCAGCACCACCACTACCTTCGTTGAATATTGCTAAATTTGAATCAGTACAAAAACCCGAATTACATTTACCCAAATCAGAACTTATTTCCATTGTTGACGGTACAATGTGGGGTGCTGTAAGTGTTTTAAGATATTTTATTACAACTAAGTTGATTCTATTACTTTTGGTGGTATTGATCCCTTATATGTTCTTCATTGTTCATTGATTTCTTATTTTCTCCTTTAGATAAATCACTGAGAGGACCACAGAGGTAAAATGCAACCGGAGAGTTGTCGTAAAAGTCTTCTTAGATCCAATAATATTTTAGATAAGTGCTTTTGAGATGACCGTGTGCATACCGTTCATAGTCATATTATCTCGGTATAGCCCGATATATCCCTAGTGAAAAACTTACTCGAATCTTACAAAGATCGTGAGACCCGAAAATTCTAACTTTTGTAAGATTTTTCACAGAGCTTGGACAAATGTAAGCAAAATTTTACTAAGAGTTTTTCAAGATTGGATAAAAATCTGTTAGGATATTAACAGTAAGAAGGATGACGTTTTTTAAATAGTATTCATTCGAGATTCGCTGAGAATTTTTAATCGGCATTATTCAAAGCAGTAGTTGAACAGTGTTAAAGAATGAAGAGAAATTTCATATTTTCGGGTGTCTAAGTATGGCCCTTGACCTGCACGTGCTTTCTCTAAAAGCGTTGAACATTTTCGAGCGAGCAAGTACTAGCAAAGTGTGGAAGAAAAACAACCGTAAAATCATTCGTATTTTTGATGTTACTTATATTGATAGATGAGAGCAAAACAAAGGGATGAATGAAAATAGAGTCATTAAATCTTATTAAGATCTTAGATTATCTTATCAGAATCTTAAAGGATAAGATCTTTAAGATAATTTTAAGAAGTGTCTAAGATTTTTACTAGGGATAGATCTTACTGCGATGAAAATGCCAAAAAAGTGGGATAAACAGAACATCTGGTTATAATGCTAGGCTGCGATTAAAACCTTGTTGAGTAAAAAAATTATTTTAATCTGTCGTGGGGTAGATATAATTTTGATAAATACTGCAGCTATCTCAATGCTCAAAGGATCTTGCTTTGGCACAATGGAACGTTATCATGACGTATCGAGATACATTTTTTTACTGCGAAAGACAGAGATTGCGATCTTACTAAGGTAAAATTTATACGTCGAAATATTGCTCAATCTCTACACTGCGAATAAAGTGCTTTAGGAAGGCACCATGAAGGTCAGGGGCGTACATCTACCTTCAAAGCAGAGTGGGAGTAACTAATACTTTTGGTGAACATTTTTATCATGTGTAGAGAAACGGATAACGATTTTTTCTGGCTTTTGGAAGAATGCCAGTTCCACATTTGGGGGTTAATCCTATCCACTTGTCAATCCCTGATGATGGTGAAAAAATGGTGATGATGGTGAAACCAGGTATGATGTTTTTTTAAACGATGCGCTGCGAAATACTCTACAAAATCATACCTAAACTATAATTTCAGAACTTCAGTCAAGAAAACTAAGTCAATTAGATGAAAGTCGAAAAAAATGAAAGCTCCCAAACTCAAAATTCTTTTCGACTTGAACTTTTTCCTCTGCAAAAGTGAGAACTCAGTTTATGTTTACTATTTTCAAATATGCTCTTTCTTGTGGTTTGTAAACAAATATTTTTAGAGCAGTTGGTGTGCTGGAGAACGAAGTTACAAAAATACGTCAAAAGTTGGCAACCTCCCTCGTTTTCAACAATGTGCTCAAGCAAGACACGGAAAACATGATTGAAATTTTGGTTGTGCAGTTAGATAGAGAAGAGCAATCATTTCTGATCAGAACAAAATAAAACAGCCCCTGCTTTTATTTTGATGGAGTTATGGGACTTTTACTGAAAGTACTACTATACCCAAAATCAATGAAAAAATGTATGAGAACCAACAAAAAAACTATTATTTCGCTGTGGCTTTTGATGTGAAAAAATTTGAAGTGCAGCTAAAAGATAGAGCGAAGTCAGGGCTACAAAACGACTAATTCAGTTTTTTATACTTTCAAAACGTTAACAAGAAATCATTTTTGAGGTTGGGAAGTTTTCATTTTTTTCGACTTTCATCTAATTGACTTAGTTTTCTTGACTGAAGTTCTGAAATTATAGTTTAGGTATGATTTTGTAGAGTATTTCGCAGCGCATCGTTTAAAAAAACATCGACTCTCGGAAACAAATCTAAACCAAGTTATAAGCAAAATACTGAGACCCTCATTTATTCTGGGACACCCGTTACAGCCATACAAGAGTACCCTAGATATATACGTATTATTATTCAGCAAACTATTACAGCCATTGATGAAACAGAGTTGGCTGGACGTGTAATTGCACGGGCTACATGTAATATATGGATGAACTCTAACTTCCATTGTATGGAGGATTAATTTTAAAAATTCGTGTTCGATTTATTTTAGCCAGAGGGATATACACCAGGGTTGCCAAGTCTTCCGATTTTGAGCTTCTTTTCCGAATGAATTTTGATTTTCCGATTTTTTCCGATTTCTGGAACTTTTTACTTTTTTCTGAACAGCACACAGTGGGCATTCAGGCGGAAATTTGAGTAAAAATCGACAAATGAGCTTTTTTGAATTCGAACAGTAGTAAATGTAGTCCTTGACCAGCGCTAGCAAATGGTATATAATGATCGACTAGTGATGAACTCCTTCGATGAGTAAGTTAACTTATGAACATTCACAAAAAACACCGTCAAATATGACACATCTGCAAAGATTCTGACTTCTATGTACAGACGTGCAATATTACGCTATCCAAAGCACATATTCGGAATCAGCACAACCTGTTGCATCTTCTGATAATAGAAGGTACTCCTTTTGCATCTTGTACGAAACGAAAAAAGGTCTAGTAGTCTAGATTACTACGGTCCGACATGAGACAATCTCAGTGCAGTGACAGC